ACATGGATCGCCTTTAACCTTCAGACCCTGCAGTTCGCTCTGGGCAAGCCTCAACTTCACTCACAGAGGCTTTCCCGGATTTAACTCAAGTATTTAAACTGCCCTGGAATAATTTACCATAGAAGTGGAATCAAATGAGTAAAGTAGCAGTGCCCTTGGTGGAACCTTATGAGACCAGGATGATGGCATCAGAAAATGGAGAAGGAAATGCTTTCAAATGTGTATATTGGAGGGCTTGAAAAGAACTAGAGCCAAACCTATTAACTACTCCAAGCTTTCCATGGTAGATCAAAAACTAAATGAAAATCCCTCAACCTTTTTTTTTTTTTTTTTTTTTTTGAGATAGAGTCTTCTGCTGTTGTCCAGGCTGGAGTGCAGTGGTGTGATCTTGGTTCACTGCTGCCTCTGCCTCCTGGGTTCAAGTCATTATCCTGCTTCAGCCTTCCAAGTAGCTGAGATTACAGGCACTTGACACCATACCTGGCTAATTTTTGTATTTTTAGTAGAGACAGAGTTTCACCATGTTAGCCAGGATGGTCTTGAACTCCTGACCTCAAGTGATCCACCAGCCTCAGTCTCCCAAAGGGTTGGGATTACAGACATGAGCCACTGTGCCTGGCCTCTACCTTTTTATTCAATAAAGAACAGGTTTATTACTCAGGCAGCTCCTGATATTGAAAGTAATTTGCTGAAACAGGCCCTCTCCAAGATCTTTCTAATTTTTTCTGACCCTCAAGTTGAAACTTTGCAGTTTGTAAATGACACTGTTATCTGTGCCGCAACTGAGGAAGTCTCAGGAAGGCACTGAGGTTATCCTCAATTTCTTAGCTATCAAGGGGGTATAGGGTTTCAAAATCTAAGGCTCAGTTCTGTCAGACTTCAGTAAAGTATGTAGGCCTAGTCTTATCAAGAGGGACCAGAGCACCAGGTGAGGAAAGGATTAAGCCCATTTTCTTTAACAGTTGAGGGGATTATTGGGCATTGCAGAATTTTGCAGACTGTAGGTACCTGGGTACAGTGAAATAGCTCACCCTTTATACCACCCCATAAAAGAAACACAAGCAGCTGAAACTTGCTTCCTAACTTGGAAACCCAAAACTCAAAAGCCTTTAACCAGCCTTGCTTTCTGCCACAAACCTTGCTTAAAGCACCAGCCCTCAATATTCCCATAGGAAAAGCATTCAGTCTCTATGTATTAGAAAGGAAGGAAATGGCCCTGGGAGTTTTAACTAAGGCTCAAGATTCGGCTCAACAGCCAGTGGGCTACTTAAGTGAAGAACTTAACTTGTTGGCTAAAGGATGGCCACCTTGCCTTCAAGCAGTTGCAGTGGTAGATTTGCTGGTGCTGGAGGCCACCAGGTTAAACATGGGGAATAATTTAACTGTTTGCATCCCATGCAGTATAGCAGAACTGCTGTCCTTTAAGGGAGTCTCTGGCTAATAGACAATTGCTCCCTCAAATAGCAAGCTTTGCTGCCAGAGGGATCTACAGTCCAGTTAAGAACTTTCCCTTGCCTGAACCCGGCCACTTTCTCCCAGAAGAAACTGGAGAACCTGAACATGAGTGAACAGGTAGTGGTGCAAACTGGTAAAAGGGATGATAATAAGGATCACTGCTTATATTCTCTGTAAGTTTTAATTAATGAAAAAACATTTTCTTAAAGAGTGCTCAGCTTAATTAAAAGTGGATATCCAAGTTATAGGTATATTAAAAGGCCTTCCCGTCCCCCCCCCCCCCCCCCTTAGATCTTGTTTTTCTGGAAAAGGTTTTTCTCAGTTGACTGAATTACATTTGCCTACTCTGTTTTGCCATTCTTGGCGGATGCATGGAAGGTCCTAAGATGAGTTCTGGTGACATGGAACTCCTTGGAAAAACAGAAAAGGCACCACAGATCCCATTTGGGGATAAATATCTGTTTTCATCATGGTACCCATGGAATTAAAGGCAAATAAATCCCTCTCAAAATCTGTTTCTGTCTTTCAGCCATGCCTGTTTATTAGGTTCTAGAAACTACATGCTTTCCTGGCCCTATTCTTAAAGGGCTCCACCCTGAGCTGTTGGATCTTCTGTTTGTCTGTGTGGTCATATATGTGATGTGTATACCTTTTTAAAATTAATTTAAAAAAGAGCTCTAATTATCTTAAAAAAGAATAAGCACTTGGATAAAATATTTTTAAAGGAAAAGCAAGAGCTGTAATGACTCTTATTTTACATAACTTCAATCTTTAAAAATTAGAACAGTCTTAGGGATTATTGGTAAAATACAAATGTCTTCAAGGTGTAAAGATGTGGTCTAAATTGTGTATGTCAAATACTAAGTTTGCTAAATGTCTTAAGGTTGTGAACTGTTTCTGTGGCCTTTAAAAACTGTCAACTTGCCTGCCCCACAATTAGTAAGGCCTGGGAACATAGGGAAGTAACTGTGCCCCATATGTTTGGAAGGAGTCAAACTTTATCTACACCAAGCGCATAAGTAAAACAATTTGTCAGGTTTTACATTCAAGTTAAAAATTGCTAAGAATTACCATTATGACATGTAATTGAAACTACTGAAACAGATTTACATGCAAGGTGTGTAAAAACAGTAAAATGTGTTTTAGTAAAAGATTATAAGAAGTCATGGAAGTGTACATTTTGCCTAGGGATAAAGAACTGTCTTAAATTAGATAAAGCTGAAGGTTTAAGCAAAGTGGGGAAAATTGAAAAAATTAATCTTGCAAAGGAAACTCTATATGTGAACATACTGACTAAATTGAAAATTACAGATGATTTTTCTGTAAATTGAGCATTGAAGTAAAAGCACGACAAGGTTTTCTTAAGACACTAATCTGCTCTTTAGCAGAATTTTAAAGAGTTATAAAAAGTTTGTGAAAATGTCACCTTATGGTCAAACTGGTTAAGGCCAGAGAGAATCGTCTATAAGGTTTCATCAAAAATTGGGGTTAACATTAATAGTAGACTAATGCAAGGGTAAATTTAACTTTCTCTCTTGAACAGATTTTCATGTACTAGTAAAAGCGAATGAATATGTTTTGCTTTTTTGTATTTTGACTCATCATTTTGGCAAAACAAATGACTTATGATAATGTAAAATTCTATTTTATAATATTAAGTGTTTTGAACCTCTAACATATTTAACAGCCTTCCCCAAATCAAACTTCAGACACAAGGTTTTCTTTCCTGACCCCTAGCTTTTGGGTGCTACAGAGGGCCTCTGGAATATCCAGAAGAGAGTTAAAGAACATTATTTGACATGTTTAGGTACATGGAATTGCCAAAATGATGTCTTATTTTCTTCAAGTTATATTTTAGGAATAATATTAACATATGTTCAAAAAACCACATGGGACGTCTAAGGCTCTTTTTTTTTTTGAGTCAGAGTCTCACTCTGTTGCCCAGACTGGTGTGCAGTGGCATGATCTTGGTTCACTGCAACCTCAGCTTCCTGGGGTCAAGCAGTTCTCCTGCCTCAGCCTCCTGAGTAGCTGGGATTACAGGCACATGCCACCACACCCAGCTAATTTTTGTATTTTTAGTAGAGATGGGGTTTCACCATGTTGGTCAGGCTGGTCTCGAACTCCTGACTTTGTGATCCTCCTGCTTTGCCCTCCCAAAGTGCTGGAATTACAGGCATGAGCCACTGTGTCTGGCCATAAAGTTCTAATGTCTGAGTATATGCTATTAATTACAATTAACATTGTTATGTTAAGTTATTGTAAACCACAGAAATAACCAAATTTCTTTGTCAATCATGTTCTTGACTGTAACCATCATGGATATTTTGTCATTTACAGACAATTGCTGTCATGTTTTATCCTTTTCAAAAGATTTATAATCAGATGTGGGGCTTTAACAGGTGCTTTCAAATGCAAATTTCTCATAACAGAAAATGTATAGGATTAATGGAAAGCTAAAATGTTTATAAATGTCAAGCAGAACAAGAGTTAACTAAATGGACTGAACTAGTAGAAAGCTGACATAATATTTTTGACTTATGCTTGGAGCATTGCTGATCCTTGTTTTATTTTTCATGGTCAAGAAAACTTATTTCAAGCTATTTACGGCCTTTAATAATTGCGTAAATTATATTTCTATGAGCAAATTTTGAAACATGCTTGCTTCTCTCTGCCTGGTTCCTCTATAATTCGGAAACTGGTTGTGAGCACTGACTTATAACAATATAGTTGTTTGCATCAGTGCAATAAGAATCCATCTTCTTTTGTAACAGGACACAATTGGAAAAACTGGTTGTTTTACCAAGGCCTTGACTGGAAGAGTGTGTTTCTCTTTCAGGAGTCAGGCTTGACTTGCAGAGCTGATAAAAGCCCCTTGGGAAACTGGCCTTATACTTTGTCTACACAGCCCCTGTACATGGTTCCTAACCTGTGGTGAGTAAAGAATATCACTTTCTAATAGGCCCAGGAACCCCATATTTTTGGAATCTCAAGAAAAGAGGAGTTTAACCAACTCACAAGTATTTGAGGGTACAAACCCATGGTGGGGCTCTGCCTTAGAGAGTCCTATCTGAGATTACTTGTAGAACAGAGTTCCATAAGAGCCAATCTGACAGGTCTAAGTAAAAGTAATTATTCTTGTTGTACTTTATGCAAAAAACCAGACCAGGTATAAGGCTAAAGTCTATTTTGCGAACAACTCAGTCCTATTATAATCTGTATTTAACAGAAATGAGGACTAGAGAGAGATAAATTATGTTTAAAAACTTATCATACAACTGTCATTAATTTCTAGTCTTATTAGTTGTTTTTAGGTTCTTACCTACATTTTAAACCAACCCTGTTTATTCCTGTAAAACACTGAGTGATCTCTAGCTGCAGCTCGAAGGAGACAGAAAGGGATGGGTAATATAAAAATCTGGAACAGCCCTCCACCTCGCGGCTAGGTCAGCCGGCTCCGCCCGGCTGCCACCCAGGATGAACATCTTGGACTTTAACGTGAAGAAGCTAGCGGCCGACGCGGGCACCTTCCTCAGTCGCGCCGTGCAGGCAGACTGTTTGTCCATGAGTGGGCTCACCTCCGGTGGGGAGAATTTGATGAATACAATGAAGATCAGCCTTTCTACAGCGCTAAGCCAAAAAAAATTGAAGCAACAAGGTCCCTACAGCATATTTGCCACCAAAAGACCAGCAGGAGAGATGTCTAAGCAAGAGACCGGCGGCTTTAATACCAGCGGAGAACTTGACCATTGTGTTTCTCTGGAGGCCTCACTTAAATTTTCCCTCTAGAATTTCTTAAAAAAATAGATAATTACTTTGATTGGAGCCCTTACACTCTACTGCCAGGATAGAAAGTACATGGTGCACACAGAAGAATAAACATCTTGATATAAAGGTGTTCCACAGGCATCTCTGGTATAAATAGAGTTTATAAGTGTCAAGGAGGCAGCTGTCTTATTAGAATGTGCAGAGTTGATTCTACAACAAAACTATATGAAAAAGATTGTCAATTCTTTCCTGATAAAGTGCAAACAGAAGAAGCATCCATAATGTTTATGCAAAGTATTGATTCTGTTGTTGAATTCTATAATGAAAAAAACCATAATCAAGAAGCTCCAAGCCTACAAAACATAAAGTGCAATTTTAGAAGTACATGGGAGGTGATCAGCAATTCTGAGGGTTTTAAAAACACAACACTCATGGTGACACCACCTTCTCCACCTGTCTTCTCATTGCTGACGATCAAAGAATTGTGTGCTTACTTCTTCATAAGTCTGTAAGCATGGCGAGCTATAACCGCCTGAATCGAATGAATCAAGCAGCAATACAATTCCTGCTGCAGACTGTTGAAAATGGATCCTGGGTGGGGATGGTTCACTTTGATAGTACTGCCACTATTATAAATAAGCTAATCCAAATAATAAGCAGCCATGAAAGAAATACACTCTGGAAAAGTTACCTACATATGCTCAGGGAGGAAATTCCATCTGCTCTGGAATTAAATCTGCATTTCTGGTGAAAATCTTACTGCAAATATATTTTGTTTTTTGTTTCTTTTCAGGAGATTGTCATGTTAAGTGCTGCTGCACATGCTTGCTGCCTAATTTTAACATAAGTAATCCTAAGAAGCACAGGACTAAGTATATAGAAAAAAATTCTCTTGATGTTTTAATGGATCAGTCAATCAATGAACAACCCATGGGTGAATAAGCAACTATAAATTTGCCACTCACTTATAAGCCAAGGAAGTCAGGGACTTTGCTGTCTTGTTACCATGCAGTAGTCAGTGCTTGAAAAATGTTAGTTAAATAAGTGTGCTTAGATGCAAAAGCCATCAATTTTGGGGCAGCGACACAGATGACATAGTATGATTCCACTTTAAGCTAGTTCTCATTTGAGCTTCTGTAACATTCCGCTAGGGCAAACTATTTATTGTACCTCCTAAAGCAGATGTAGCAGGACTGTGAGTCATATTTAGGGTAAGACATATGAGTTAGAACATAAACTTTGACATCAGAGTACTGGATGTGCTACTTACTAACTGTGTAATCTTAGGCTAACACTTCAGTCTCTTTGGACTCTCAATGCCTTTTCTATACAGTATAAGAAATAGGAATGCCTACCTCATAGAATAATTATAAGGATTATGTGAAATGATACATTTACATACTTAGAACAATATTTACTATATTATATAGTAAATATATAGTTCAAATATATGTAATGTATAATAATTTATCGTAAGTATATAATTATTTATAATAGTTAAATATATGTATAATTATCATGAACATTATTTTTAGCCAAATGGTCATCTTGAGCCCACAAATAATATCAATTATGTCATTTTACTATTAAGAAATCTTCACTGTCTAAAGGGACAGATTCAAGATGGCCAATTAGGAGTAGCTCAGGATTGCAGCTCCCAGCGAAAGTGCGGAGGGTGAGTGGATGCCGCATTTCCAGATGGATTTTTATTGCCCACAGACCAGGAGATTCCCAGGTGGAGGAGCCCCACAGGTTGCCAGCGCGGCTGTCTTGGCCGGCGCACCTATTTTGGCCAGCGCGGCTGTTTAGGCGCTGCGGTTCTCCGCACAAAATAGACAGGTTCGGGCGCTGTTTTAGCTGGCGATTGGAGCTCCTAGGAGACAGAGTGGCCATTCAACTCATGGAAAAGGAGACTAAAACAGGGACTCAGGCCAGGAGATTCCCAGGCAAAAAAGTGCCACGAATCTCAGTGCAGCTGTGTCAGCTGGCGCAGCGGGTCACTGCATGGGAAATCACACCGATCAAACTGCTATTAACAATTGCTATAAAGAGAATAAAATACCTAGGAATACAACTAACAAGGAACATAAAGGACCTCTTCAAGGAGAACTACAAACCACTGCTCAACGAAGTAAGAGAGGACACAAACAGATGGAGAAACATTCCACATTCATGGTTAGGAAGAATCAATATCGTGAAAACGGCCATACTGCCCAAAGTAATTTACAGATTCAATGCTATCCCCATCAAGCTACCAATGACCTTCATCACAGAACTGGAAAATATCACCTTAAACTTCATATGGAACCAAAAGAGAGCCCACATAGCCAAGTCAATTCTAAGCAAAAAAGAACAAATCCGGAGGCATCACACTACCGGACTTCAAACTATACTACAAGGCTACAGTAATCAAAACAGCATGGTACTGGTACCAAAACAGGGACACAAACCAATGGAACACAACAGAAGCCCCAGAAGAAGCACTACACATCTACAACCATCTGATCTTTGACAAACCTGGCAAAAACAAGCAATGGGGAAAGGGCTCCATGTTTAATAAATGGTGATGGGAAAACTGGCTAGCCATGTGCAGAAAGCAGAAACTGGACCCCTTCCTGACACCTTACACTAAAATCAACTCCAGATGGATTAAAGACTTAAACATAAGACCTAACACCATAAAAACCCTAGAAGAAAACCTAGGCAAAACTATTCAGGACATAGGCATAGGCAAGGACCTCATGACCAAAACACCAAAAGCATTGGCAACAAAAGCCAAAATACACAAATGGGACCTAATTAAACTCCACAGTTTCTACACAGTGAAAGAAACAGTCATTAGAGTGAATCGGCAACCAACAGAATGGGAAAAAATTTTTGCAATCTACCCATCTGACAAAGGTCTAATATCCAGAATCTACAAAGATCTAAAACAGATTTACAAGAAAAAAACAAGCCCATTCAAAAGTGGGCGAAGGATATGAACAGACACTTTACAAAAGAAGACATACAAGAGGACAACAAACATATGAAAAAATGCTCATCATCACTGGTTATTAGAGAAATGCAGATCAAAACTACATTGAAATACTATCTCACACCAGTTAGAATGGCGATCATTAAAAAATCGGGAGACAACAGACGCTGGAGAGGATGTGGAAAAATAGGAACACTTTTACACTGTTGGTGGTAGTGTAAATTAGTTCAACCATTGTGGAAGACAGTGTGGCAAGGACCTAGAAATAGAAATTCCATTTGACCCAGCAATCCCATTACTGGGTATATATCCAAAGGATTATAAATCGTTCTACTATAAGGACACATGCACACAAATGTTCATTGTGGCACTGTTTACAATACCAAAGACCTGGAACCAACCCAAATGCCTATCGATGATAGACTGGACAGGGAAAAATGTGGCACATATACACCATGTAATACTATGCAGCCATAAAAAACAATGAGTTCATGTCCTTTGTAGGGACATGGATGAAATTGGAAACCATCATTCTCAGCAAAATGACACAAGAACAGAAAATCAAACACCGTATGTTCTCACTCATAAGTGGGTGTTGAACAATGAGAACACATGGACAAAGGGAGGGGAGCATCACACACTGGGGTCTGTTGGGGGGGAATAGGGGAAGGACAGCGGGGTGTGGGGAGATGGGGAGAGATAACATGGGGAGAAATGCCAGATATAGGTGATGGGGAGAAAGGCAGCAAATCACACTGCCATGTGTGTACTTATGCAACAACCCTGCATGTTCTTCACATGTACACCAAAACCTAAAATGCAATTAAAAAAAAAATAAATATTCACTGTCACTTCACAGTCAAAAAAAAAAAAAATCTGGAACAATGTTCCAGTTCTGAGCAATTATCCTACAAATCCTGCCAGGTAATAAGAATAAATAGATTACCCATAACCCAAAGGTTTCCTTTTTGGAAAGGTAAGACCAAGACAGCCAACCAAAGCCAAGTCCATGCACCCAAATCTTAACAGGCATAACTATAGCCACCAGTTATCAGGGCATGTCAGCAGCCTTGGGATTTTTTTAAGCTGTCCTTACCCACCTTATTTCATTTTAATACATGTCCTCTAATAACCCAAATTGTTTCTTTTTGCCTAGAGGCTATCAGCCTCCAAATGGTAATGCAAATGGAACCATGCATAAATGCCCCTTTCTTCTGAGGATCCTTAAACCAGCCCTGGGAGGAATCCCAGCTGCTGTTTCCCACATAATGCCCCTCTTTAGTGTGAAGTAGCCAGAAAGATCAACACCCAATCTCCCTAACAGCAGTTAGGGTTTCCGCTCCTGACATGGGGGATGAGGAAGAAGGAAAGGAAAAATTAGTTGGGTAAAAAACTAACAGACTAGTCCTTGGAGAAGCTGCCTGTCTGAAAACTTGTGAAGCTGCCTGACTGAAAAATCACAGCTACAGGCAAAAATAGAGCAGCCTGGACAAAATTCAGACTGCAGCTGTACAGATAAGCCACAGATAAAGAGGCAAGGCAGGCAAAGTCCAGCACGAAGGCTGTTTGTTCTATGTATGATTAGCGAGCTCCCAGGAAAAAGTTTCCTTCCCTTTTCAGACATGTACGTGGTGGACTCCGTGGGAACTTGCACAGGGAAGAAGGGGGTTTACTTAAAAAAACCCACACTTAACAAAACAAAAATCTTTACTTTGTGCTTGTCTCAAGACATACTCACAGCTACATAAGTAAGGGAGAGTTATGCAGTTTTATGGATAAGAAAAGTTACTCAAACAGTTACAGAGATAAGAGCAGTTTCTTATAAAAGCTTTTAAATTCAACTGTAACCCAGCAACCATCTGGGACCCCTCTTTTCAGTGGAGAGCTTTCTTCTTTCGCTTATTATATTTTGGCTCCAACCTCACCCTTTGTGTCCACGTTCCTTAATTTTGTTGGTTGTGAGACCACGAGCTCAGATAATACCTTAGACCATGAGATAAATGACCCTGACCTGTTTCAGGAGGATGGGTGTGCACCCCATTACCCTGGCTCCCACCAGTGGAGTGGGACTTGCCCATGGACTGTGTCCCACAATCTTCCTGGGCAAGATGTGTCAGCCAGCAGTCTGACTGTATGCCAAGCACCTGAGACCTGCTTTGTGGCCAAGGCATGACTTCTGGGACCACTTTCCAGAATTTGCCCATCACCTACTCCTGATGATGCTACCCCTAAGTCCCAGAGGGACCACGTGGCTGTGACTTTTCTGAGAATCAGCCCTGCTAGTGGAGATAACTGCCACTAAAAACACCATCCCTTCACTTAACGCCATGGATATAACTATTAATCTCAGGTGCCTTCATCAGCAGGAGCACTCTAAGCAATTTATTAAAAGTGAAACATAATTGTACAAGCAGTTAATCAACAGGGCATGATTAACAAAGCAACCTTCCCCTCCCCGCACCCAGCAAATTTGTGAAACTCCCTTTTTCTTTCAGCTTGATCAAGTATTCCAAATTTAGAATGCTTGAAGTGGCCCACAGAAAAAGAAAAAGGCCACATAAGTTCCCTCTCACTTTTGGTAAATAGCAGCATATAAATAAAATAAAAGAAATACTGAAATAGATACCGTCTTGTGCAGCATTAAAAAATCAAAATAAAAATAATGTGAGCAAAAAATGGGTTTCTAGTATATAGCATGTAATTGTTTAGTACATTTATAACTAATATCAAGATTATCAATATGCCTGGGTTACAATGTGCCATCTTGATGTTTGTTTTCTATCCATCACATTTGTTCCTTTGTCCTTTTTTTTTATCTTCTCCTTTCCATTTTCTCTCAGGTAAGTTTCTGACCCTACCCACCTGTTTTTAATCTCTTCAGCCCCCATGGGAATACTTGTTACTAATGGAACTTAATAGGTTGAGTTCTGTTCTCTTCGAAACAAAATTTAGCAGAAGGTTTACAGTGATTTCCTATATTCCCCTGCACCCACACATGCATGGCCTCCCCATGACCAGTATCGCCTCCCAGAATGGCCTATTTGTTGCAACTGACGAACCTACACTGACACATCATTTTCACCCAAAGTCCATAGTTGACATTAGGGTTCACTATTGGTGCTGTACATTTTATGGGTTTGGACACATGTATAGTGACATGCATCCACTCTTTAGTGACACGCATCCACTCTTACAGTGTCATATAGAGTAGTTTCACTGCCCTAAAAATCCTGTGTTCCACCTTCATCTTTCCCTCCACTCTAACCATTGGCAACCATTAATCTTTTTCCTGTCTCAATAGTTTTGCCTTTTCCGGAATGTCCTATAGTTGGAATCACACAGTATGTAGGCTTCTCAGACTGGCTTCTTCCACTTAGTAATGTGCATTTAAATTTCCTTTGTGTCTCTTCATGGCTTGATAGTTCATTTCATTTTAGTGCTGAATGATATCCTTTTGTCTGGATGTATCATGGTTTATTTATGCATTCAACTACTAAAGGTCATCTTGGTTTCTTCTAATATTTGGCAGTTAAGAATAAAATTAGGTTCTATAAGCATCCATGTGTAGGCAACTGTGTGGACATAAGTTTTCAAGTCCTTTGGGTAAATATCGAGGAGTGTGCTGGTTGGATTGTATGGTAAGGGTACGTTTAGTTTTGTAAGAAACCTCCAAAGTGTCTTCCAAAGTAGCTGTACCATTTTGCATTCCCACCACCAATGAGAGTTCTTGTTGCTTCACGTCCTCACTAGTGTTTGGTGTTGTCAGTATTCTGCATTTTGGGCATTCTAATTAGTATTAGTAGTATCTCATCATTTTAATTTGCATTTCCATGGTAATACATGATGTGGAATGTCTTTTCATATACTCGTTCGCTTCTGTGTATCGTCTTTGGTTAGGTTG